CAATATAAAATTTGCGCTTCCATTGTATAGTTTATCTTTTAGTTTGAAAACTGCTGCTTTTGTTTTACTTTAATTTCTTTGTAAAGAATTTAAGCCAATCCAAGTATTAAGCTTTTCTAGGCAAGTATTAGCATCAGAAACAAGCGTATCAATATTATTTTTTGAAAAAGAAGACTACAATAATCAGCATAAATGCATATGAGGTATTGCTTGCAATATTGATTATATAATTCATAAACAGGTTAAAAAGCACTATCCCCAGAACACTACATTAAGGTATTCCTGTACGAACCGGTTTCAACACTGAATTATACACGTTTATTTTAACTGTTTGCTAGCGACAGCTCATGGAATTTTCAACTAAAGCTAAGGAATTCCCTCGAATGTCATAACAATTGTTTTTCTATGATATTTTTGATTCAGCCGGTAGAAATTTTTAAAGAAATCAGTAAAAATTTCTAACGTGAGTATGCTTGTTTTAAATATCATTTCAGAGAATTAATTTTTGCCGTAGACGGTCCAGTACTTCTCAACATCGTTACTTAAGTGGGGTTCTCCAGCCCTTTAAATTACCTTGAGGAAACATTGCGAAAACTTGGGGAAACTTTGGGGAAAGTTTATGGTCCGTTTTTCTCTTTATTGGTGCTCTAATGGATCCTCTTCCCTACAGTTGGCGAGATCCTGCGAATTTCGCGTTTCAAAAAGCCCGCTTTCGTATTACCCAACACATCGTACAAAAGTGAAAATGTTGGCATGATGACAGAATCACCTGCAGGCACGCCTCAAGCTTGTTCGGAGAATATTTCGATACATTTGTGTGCCTTTAGCATGTCTATAGACAATTTCTTTATATGGCCTGTAGGGCAGGAAAGAAAGAAAAACAAACATGCCTCAAATGCTGTCTCTAGACCGTTTTTTGTATGATGCATTATCTGTGTGAACGCGACTTTAAGAGCTCAAACAGACACCCAAAAAACACTCGAACTGGAAGAAAAAAAAAAGAAAGAAAACACTCCGCGTTTTAAAGTACATGCTGTTGTCTTTGAAAGAAAATAATAATCCGTCTACGCCAAAGCCGGCTTCATTATGAATGTTCGTTGATGAACTGGACCATCTTAAACTCTCTCTTACGTTACTTTAATATTCTTCGAATTGGCTTTTATTTAAGCTCGCTCATTACCTGGTCGTTTTCCGGTTGGTTCCTTGATTATTTAATTTAGTAGGGTCATTATCGGGTAAGCTGTAAGGCATCCGACGTCACCTGTTTTCGTCCCTTAACTTTTGAGCACTCGCCATCGAAGAAAGCGTACGAGCAGAAACCTTAGGGCTTTGTCGTTTAAATTGCATAGGGTACGTCGTCGTGCCATTTTATATTGACCAGACTTGGGGACTAAGACTTTTTCTTTTCGGCAGTGTCCTGAAGATAGGGTATGTGCTCTAACATAGAAAAGCAGCGATATATAATTAATTCACTGTGGTTTATTTTTTTTTCTATGATAATTTTGTCGTTACCTCGAGGGCACTTACACCATTGATGAACGTTGAATCGAACGACACCGGATATCTTTTCTCTTCGAGCACTTGTTAAATATAGGGCAGTATATCAATAGATGTAAGCAAAAAAAAAAAAAAAAACACGAAAGATACTACAAGATTTTTATTTTAGGTTTAGTTTACATCATCCTCTTGTCGTCACCGACCGGCTGGATGGTTCGTTTTGGAAACACTGGCACCACCAGACGGCGGCGAACGAAAACTCAAGAGTGGACTTTGCTTAAAGATCTGAGTGACTCTATTCAATCTTATTCACATTGTTCTGTTTCGAAAATCCTGTTTACCTGGATAAGAAGAGTATACATTTCTCCTGACAACCTGTTGAAATAATTTCTTTTCTATATATGTAGTACTTCTTAATGAACAGAGACAGGAACCCCTTTTGTAGATATTTTCTCAAAGCTCAGATAATGTTCTTGCATTGACACTAAAGATCGAAACTATGATTTGTCGAGAACAAAGATAGTACAACGAATCATTTTTGCTGTTGATTCGAATGTAATTTTGAAAACCGATTATCTTCGTTTTTTGTTATTGTTTATTTTGCGTTTCTTTCACACGAGCAAACCTTTGCCCTGATATTCGTTTTTTTTCTTGCCTTATCCTTCAAAGTTAATGCGATAAAAACTGGAGCGCTATTAAATTTGTTTGAGTTCTCAATTGCGTCGTCACGAAGACGGCACAATAAAAAGCTCCTCGGGCGAGTGTTACGCGGGTATGCCATTACTCTACTCCATTTAACTCGGCCGCTCGTTTCGCGAGCGAGACTTCTAGGAATCTCTTTAATCAAAGGGAGCTGTTTAGTCTCGGACACTGACAAAGCCGAGCGAACAAAAGCCGTCATTCTTTCACTTTACTTCTTTTTTTTTTTTTTGGTTTCACTGGACATGTCAGATGTAATATACTCCATTTTCTTGCGCACGCCATCCTCGCTGACGCCTTTCTGTGGTCGGAACTTAATTCATTATGGTCCTCTTTGAAGAGGAGCAATAGCGTTTACAAGAAATCGGCGTCGCAGATTCGCGCCGTTCAACAGACTGTTCAATGAGGTCTTGATATGCGGTCTCCCTGCTTGTATACATCATAGAAAAGACGTGGAGTTTGCTGGAAACATGACAGAATGTTTCTGCAGACACGACCGAAACATGTTTGAAACATGTTTGCTTGACACATACGTGTGCATCTAACATGTCTGCGGACAGCTTTTGCGTGACAGACGTGACAGCATTTTTATACAAGGAAAAAACACACCTCCTCAGAGAGTTTCCGCAGACAGTCTTTTGTTTGATATACTAGCACTGCGGCAGCGGTTTCAGATTCTTTGGATCGATAAAGATGCATGGAGTAAAAAAAGAAAATCTTGCTACCTTAAATTGCATGACGGCTAAGTGAATTACTCTAATGAAAATCGGACCCCAAACTGCTCGCTTAAACAAACCAAAAAAAAAAAAAAGTCCAATTCTAAAGATGGGAAATGTGCGTTATATCACTCTAATCCGTGAATATTAGGCGGATACTAAATAAGTTCTAGAAACTTCAATAAAACCAACTTTGGATCTAACTATACCGCAACTGCAGACTAATGAATTTGTTTCTACCAAGTTCACGAATGAATATACTAGTACTCAAGCTATCAGGTACTCCCGGCGCTAACCACTTCGAAACCAGCCAGTTTCAAACTTAAGCAGTTTCAAGATTTTACTAGCATTATAACGGCAACTGAAAAACTCGCTTAATCATAAAGCTGAGGGTTACAGTTCGTAATATTCTGGAGTATCGGATCTTAGCATAATTTTGACATTACAGCATGTAACAATAGTGTGAGCTCCACTAGATTTATACCTTTATCGATGCACTATAGTTACTATTCCTTAGAGTAATTATACATTATAGTAATTATACCATACAGTATTTATACACTTTTGTAGTTATACCCTATATCCAGCTATATTAAGTGTAACTCAACTATATCCTATACTACACTGTAGTAACTACAACTCAACTGTGTCTGTAATATACACTATTGTACACTATAGTAACCTTGGTTGTAACTGCACACTGCAGTAACTATACTCTCTAGCGCACTATACTTCATAGCACACTAAAGTAACTCTACCTAAATTATGCCCTAGTAATTATAACTAAACCATGTCTCTGTTATGCACTAAAGTACACTCTAGTAAATTGTAAAGGAATTGCTACTCTAATATTGTTTAGGCGATAAAAGATGATAGCAATAACAGCACAAGTATCTCTCCCATATTGACTTTTAACTATGACGGTCACCTGTGTGAGGTCGTCGTGGATAATTTAGATTTGTGATATTTTTGCTTTTGAAACGCATTTATGGCTACTACGGACGGTACTTACTCAGCTATTCTTTATAACTCTACCACTAATTCTTACTATTATCTGAGTTGTTCTTCGCGTTGTCGCTGAAATCTAAGCTTACACTAAAATGCTACTAAAATGCTAAAAGTGCAAATCTTCTAACTACCACTGGTAAGATTTCACACACGACTCCAAACTAATGCAGTCAGGACCCTCGAGTGAACCTTCTTAAAAGAGTCTTGCATATGCTGGCTCTATTTTCGGCGGAAAAACGAGCACGCGTTTCGGAATCCCCCCTATCGAAACTACCTTCGCTGATTTTAATAAGGTAGGAACACCCCGCCCCCGTGCATGCCTCCAATCACTAATTCTATGCACGCTCAAGACTTCAGGTTAGCAATATAGTAGTGCTCCGGTCCTATTTCATTCTGTACAGCACTGACACGACACATCACGTAAGTCGGTTAACTTTATGCTCTCTGTGCGGAACGCAAGTTCGTCTGCTTCTTGCACCAGTGTTGTGATGTTGTTAGAACGCCGAGGTTTTATTGGCTGATTGAACAAAAATAGTGGGTAGACCTCGAGTCATCTAGCATCGAGGTCTACCCACTTATCTTTCAATGAAAGCCTATAAGAGCTCGGCGTCTTTCTGACGTCTCCGCAACTTCTGCGCAAAAAGCAGATGACTTGCTTTCCGCATAGTCACTCTCAGCGTAAGCACTGCAAGTTGAGGCAAGTCCTGGGCGTCCTAATATTGTTTCGCGGTCAGTGAGGCTGCGGCTTTAGCGAATAGGAAAGCCGAAGAACTGCACTTCTTAAGGTGTCAGCGAATACAGGCTTCGTGATTGACTCCTCTGCGTCCTTATCGGCTGGCGCAGCAATCTCATTTGCTGCGAAGTGATAATTAGATGCGCGGGGACTTGCCACGCCCTTCTGTTCTTATACTCTTAGCGACTGTAGGATTGGCGTAAACTAGGGATTGAAAAGCCGCCACTGGAACAATTCAGACCGTGGCGAGCTTCTTTCATCTGAAAAAGGGTGCTTGAAGTGAAAGACAGGCAAGAGTTGCGTTTTTTTTTTGCGCGTAGTCGTAATTTATTCACGTTCCCCTTTGTACACGGTTTCGCGTTTTCCACCCGCCGGAAGTCAACTTCCAGCGGCGCTCTGGTCGGCCCAAGCGCATAAATAAGAAGCGGCGAAGAAGTGTTCGTTTCCCTTTGAGATGAATTGCTTAGTGTCCCTGCAAAGAAGACAGAAAAGAAAAAAAAGTTAAAACAGCGACACTCCGGGGACAAAATATGAGGCGATCAACATTTCCCAACCACCAACATCTGGTATTGGCTAGCAGTAATGGCTGAGGACGTTGCTGTTGAGCGTATGCTCACGGCAAGATTCCACAAGCATGCATGCCACGCCATGTTAGAGCGTTGCTCTTAGCAGACGACAAGCGGAAGCTCCATATGAGCATTCGCTGTGAACAAAGTTCTCACATATGACAACCTGTGATTATAAGCTATACGATAATGGCATCATCAGAGATTATGATGGCCGTTGTGGTGACAATAGGGACAAGTGTTGTCACCAGAAGCCCATTAGAACGATGTTTACGTCGTCTCTCAGAGACACACTGTGAACCTAGATTCCGGAGGCTTAAGGGAGACAGATTTCAACCATGCCAACCACCATATAGCTTAGAATTTAACTTACATAGCCGTGTCCGCCATATCCGTAACCGAAGCCACCGTAGCCGCCGTGGCCGACAGCGACGACTGGAGCAGCAACCTTGGCGACGACTGGGGCAGCATGGACAGCGACACCGTGGCCGAGACCGTAGCCGCCGAATCCTCCGTGTCCGAAACCTCCGTATCCGCCGAGGAAACCACCGTGTCCGTAGCCACCGTAGCCGCCGTGGCCGACAGCGACGACTGGGGCAGCGACCTTGGCGACAACTGGAGCGGCAGCGACAGCGACGCCGTGTCCATAGCCACCGTAGCCTCCGTGGCCGTAGCCGAAGCCGCCGAGGAAGCCACCGTGTCCGTAGCCGCCATAGCCGCCGCCATAACCTCCATAGCCGCCATAGCCTCCATAGCCGCCATAGCCGCGACCACCGTGGTTCACGGCGGTGGTGTAGCTGGAGCTGACGATTCCGGCGGAGTGGCCGCCGGCGTTAGCCATGCAGACCAAGGCGAGGAGGAAGAGGGCGCTGACCTGCACGGCACATGCGCGGGAAAGGTCACGATACGTCCTGTCGCCTGCTAACACAGAGCACGAATTGAGTGCATGGAACAGCAACAACTAAGAAGGAATAAATCAGGAAACGCGGTTTGGTTACAAAGTGTTCCACTCGAGAAATAGTTTTTACTGTTACCTCTTGTAGCTTCGCGTCTATAAACCCCCCCCCCCCCTCTTACCAACGCAACACTGCACAGCACGCAAAAATGCGAACTTCTCTCAGTTTTTTTACTTTAATTCCCTACGCAAAAGGTTGAGCAATTAAACTTCTGTTCAGTTCAATCTAATCCAATCGTCTAAGAGGGTCCTGTAAAGGGGCCCGGAATACGTTACTACGTCCTCGATTTCTACAGAATATCACATGACCCAGCTCTTACTAGAATTGTATCATTTGGCGGGACATGCCGTAACATTCCCTCGAGTGGAAGACTCAAGACATTATTAACCGCAACGGATGAATCGTGCCTCTTGCTAATCTTTAGCCCATTGTGCTCAGAAAAAACGTGTCGTAAAAAGGTATATAAAAAACACGCTAAAGAAAGTTTACAGCTCTCAAAAGTTTCCATTTCGGAAGGCACAAGCGTCGCAGCTATTGTTCGTCCTTTTCTTCATCCGTTCTCTCTTCTTCTGAGATCTATTTCACGCTCCAGGAAGCAACCCGCATTTCTAACGATCCTTCTCCGACGTCATTATCCTGGATTCCCAGGATAACCGTAATGGTATCCGTTACGGGAGGGAGAACGCGGGACGAGGCGGTGTCGTTACGGGCACGGGCAATTCCGCTCGTTCTATACTTCACCCCGCTCGCTCCGTCTCATACCTCCTTAGTCTCCGTAAGAGCCGGGGGCTAATTGTGTCTCCTACGGAAAGAGACTACCGAGACGCTGATTTACGCTCTCTCAGGTTCCTGGATCGAGCTGACGTAATTCGCCGAGTAAGAGCCGTCTTCGCTAGTCCATTTAGCGGAGGAGCTGGGCTTTTTTTGTTTTGGCCGAACGCCAAAGTAACCTGTCTTTTGTTGGTTGCTATGAGACTTTGGATCAATTTGGAGCAAAACACAAATTAAGGTGATTCGATGAACTGGAGGTTGAACTTTCCTGGAAGCCTCATGTGACAGTCGACATTTCGCATGCTAGTTCTCTAAACGAAATGACGGCTGAACCTCCGAGGCTTCTAGTGGATTCCAGTTCTAGTTAGATTATGTAAAACACTGTTAACTAGCTTTCAGATGTACCGGCATGACGGCGTATATGGAATATTAGGGCTTAACAGTAGTATTATATTTTCTTTTCTTTAATCTTCTAATGTTGTCTAACTCGAAGGCAATTTTTATAGGGTCGACTTATTTTCGGTTCTCTATATATGGAGTCCAAGTACATTCAATCAAATAATATTTTGTATTTAACCCGCGTCGTTCCTTCCTCTCAATACCTGACCGATTCCGCCCGCACTCAAGCAGCATCTTTCCGAAAGTCTCACATCTAGCAACACCTCAAGGATGGAGTTCGTGACGTCACTTATTGAAGGCCAGCACGGGGCGCTGATTCGACTGCTGCGTCAGCTTCCCTGTTCAATCAGATAGGACACAAAGTTCCAGCCGAACTCGTACACTGTTCTCGTCCCCAATCTCCGCCCCAAGCTGGCCTTCCGTTGATGACGTTGATAATCCAGTATTACGGCCTTTTTATGGGACGCCGTCGCTTGCCCCTAAACAAACACCCCCCTAGTTAACAAGGCCGCACTGCTAGAGTTTCTACGTCACCTACAAGTGGCCAGCGTGGAACGCAGATTGGACACGAGTGCTGCGTCACTGTCGTCCAATCGACGCCCCGACGTTGACCTTCAGTAGATGACGTAAGCAATCCAGCGCTCGGGCCTTGTCATCTAGGGCGGTGTTGCCATAACCTGCGCCCTTTTTCTTTCCACGGGTTCCACTCCGAAACGCGGCGGACGTCGCCTATCCAGTGACCGCGTACTCACAGCGAACATGTTTGGAGGTGGCTTGCTCGTTTCCTGAACGGTCGAGAGAGTGTCCTGTCCTGGACTCGGCAAGGCTTTTATACCGGGCCCGCCGCTAGCGGATTCGGGCAAGGGAGGGAAACGGACCGGGAATGGGAGGCGCTTGCTTTCTTGTTCCCCGAGAGAACCGACCAGCCAGCCACACGCGCACGTGCCTCCCGGTTATGGGTCGCGCCGTGAAAGGCAGGCGTCGATGGCGACCTCCTTTTCCTCCGCGACCACGACGTAGCTTGGGTGGACAGTTTGGCGGACAAAGGGTTTTTTCGCTCGCCTATCGCCGGCCATCGGTGTTCTCCCTCCCCCACCCACTCCGATGGAGTGATCTCTCGGTTCGGAAAGTGGTTCGGGTTGGCTGTTGACGCCCTCGAGCATAACTTGCTCCGGGCGGTTTGTTTTGTTTTTATGTGCCGTGTCCGAGCGAAAGGGGTTTGGTATGGCACGGGCCGCCGCCGTCGTTGCGTGGCCTTGCTGTGAGTGCCGGACCAATTTGTTCGGGTTGGAAGAGTTGAAGTTCATTGATGATGTGCGCTGTTTCTTGACGAGGAGGGAAGGAAGGACAGAAGGCGAAAATGGGGAAGGTAACCTGGGGTAATTTTCCCAGTTGGCAACACTGCGCCTGGGTGGAGAAATGGGGAGATAAAGAGTTGATTTAAAGAGGAGATTCGGCAGAAAATAAAAGGAGCAAAAATTAGACTTCAAGGGCTATATACGTGACATCTTCACTAACACCGGGGTTCATCCTCTACAAGAAGTTCCATGCGTGGTTTTCTCAGGAAACTAACATAAGGTTTTTGCACTTCGTAGCTTTTTACGATTAGTCCCAGGCATCAAGCACTTTCGCCGCAGAGAAGAACAGAATATCCAGAAATTTAAGCGTGCTTTATAGTTTGATAAAGACCAACACATGCGATGAAGCATATTTTGGGAAACGTCTGGCCGTGGCCTCTTTTAAACATTAGTTTAAGTGGCGCCTACTATGGCAGGCTTTCCAGAGCGACAGACATGAGCCTGCTAGGTCATGAAGATTGCATGCTGTGTTGTGGACTTGCACACATTGGAAACACACAGCAGGTTGAGATCCCCATTATATTAGGATAGACCCAAATAAACACATTTGACATTGAAATGCTGTATACTTGGAGCCTGTAGCAACTTCCGACTGGAGGAAAAGCGCAGCCCACGAAACACTACGCTTCACTGGATACCAATTACGCTGTAATTAATTTTACATGGAATAGCTTATTTTTTTTTCGAATAATTGTTTAAGGTAGAAAGTCCAATCTTCTCGCTGCACTCGTAAGCATTATTTTTATTTTTTGTTTCCTTGTCATTTGAGTGGATTGATCACTCTTGGAAAAAGTGCCATTAGGCAACTTGCTGGTCAAGAATGATAAGAGGCCTATTGGCTTGAACGAAAAAAGCGGCCAAGGTTAGAAGGTCCCATTCAGCATCTTGACCCCAACAAAAAACAAGAGCTAAATTTACCACTCAAATGAAGACGACAGCGCTAACGAGACAAAAACTACCGACCCCTACTAAAAGATTGCGCAAAGACAGTACACCTCCAGAGGTTGACGACGAGGCGTCGAGGTAACCCTTTGGACGGGGACGAAGACAACTAGAATTTAACAGCTTTCACTCGTGTTATATATACGGTGGGTTAAAAGGGATGGTATGGCGATCGCGCGCCTTTCTCAGTGGTCGAGAACTGCCCACGGTTTTTACATCATGTGTCACTATCCCCATGAAACCATCTCTAAGTGATCTCATCTCTAAGATTCAAGCGGCGCCACTACGGCGAAGACCAGTCAATGGCTTGGAAACTGGACTTCAGACGAAACGAAGCTAGCAAGATATATGCCGAGAACATAAAGGAACATGTCCACTTACGGATGAGCAATGCTTCGACGAAGTATAATGAATTGCTCAATCTACCCAGTTTTCGGTTCCATCTTTTCAATTAGCCCTCTAATGCAAGGTAGCGCTGCTTCTAGCATTCAGACTATGACGCGATTGTAGGCATGAATCGCGGGACCGTTCTTGAGAGATAAAGATTGTGAGATTGTGAGATACAAAAAAAGCAGACCTTCTGGCACCCCAGTGAGCGTCAAGCCAACAGAAGCCAGATCATTCTAACAAGCGAACGGCGACACCGGCACAGTAGCATGTGATATTATTACTGTTATGCAGGAAGGCGTTTTCAGATAAGATCGAACAGCAGATAAAAAATGGTCCGGTGACCGTTTTTAATTTTGATGAAAAAATATTTTGCTGCCGTCATAAAAAAAAAAAAGAACAAACCTAGATTAAAAAAAAAAACTGTCTTTGCGAAATTGTTTTTTTTTTTGGGGGGCACCTTTTTAGTTACGTGCAGGTTTTGCGTATCGCGCGATGCTAGCATTTCGGACGGCTTCCCCCCAAAAAATCTGTTCTGGCCATTGGTATAGAAATATTTACTGGCAAATTAGGTATAAGAAGGATTGACAAAAAGTATTTATCACCGAGTATTAGGGTCGTTATTTTGAGAAACAAAATGGTAAATACTGCAAATTGCACAATAACGCTTTTGATTAACGATTTCTTTCCCTCCGTATCTATAAAGGCTTAGGTCTTCAAGCTTTGTCAGTGTGTTTCTCTGTATATGGTTCATCTGTGCATGAAATTTCATTGTCCTGGTTAGCGGCAGCCATTTACAAGAGTTGCTCAAACATAAGCATTTAACTAAAAATTCAGTATTTTAAAATAATTTAAAAAGAAAGGCCATCTTTAACTTTTTTAACCTCTCCGACACTAACATTCATAATATTTACTAACAGAATCTGCGAAAACATAATGCAATATTTGT